TATCAGTTCCTAATCTGCATCTGCCATTGGGAGACTGATTTATAAGAGTATGGACAAGAGAGTTTAAAGTGAAGGAGAGCAATCTGACTTTTAAATTAGAGTTCCAAGATATTCCGTAAAATTCTGCCATCCATTTTTTAACTCAGTACCTTCATGGGTGATCTGATGTGACCTATGGGGTTTTAGTAGTCAATGAAGTTGACAGGTGTATATTGCAATGAAAAACAGGAAGCTAGGGTCAGTAGAGGAAGAATCAATAAAATGCATGCGTACAGACAAATGAGATTGTCAGGAATGTTTTCCTGGCTTGACAAAGAATGCTGATGATCTACCACGTAGCCTACTGACAACTCACATAGCTCCTTGGCAGGTGCTTCCCAAGAACTGGGGCTGAGACTTTTAAATATTTATGTTGTACATAATTTCATTCCATTCCCAGGCTCACTACACAGAAGGCACATGTACCCTGATTTGTCTCTCTTCCACAAGTCCTGAACTGTGAATATGAAATCTGCACTTCATTTTGTCTCCCCTGCTACTCCATCTGTGATGAACCATTTACAGTTTAGTGGGGCTGCCAGCCCTTAAGGCCCTGAGAGAAATTCCACCATACAACTGAAATTAAGCGTAAATCATCATGTCAAGAAACCACTTAATGCATTTCCCTTTCAGTCACTTTTGTCTCCAAATTTTGTATTTAAGAAGTTACCTCTCCAGGCTAGAATTCAGATGTTATGCTAAATCTCTTCCAAAAATATCACATCCAGAACTAATATAAAAGAGAATTTTTTCCCATTTTTTTATAGAAAGACATAAAATCCTGTAGGTGAACAAAATCCAAATTCCAGCTGTACTGGGACCTTAGCTGTACTGTTAAGGAATTGAAGGTGGCCTGTAAATGGGATTGTAAATGCTGCTGCCTAAAAAGCTGAGTTAGATTTAAACAGTGTGAGCTAACCTGGTGGCTTTGCCAAATATAAGAGGGAGACTTTGAGAAAGAAAAAAAATAACAGAAATAAAAAAGCATGAAGAAAAAAAAGAGTGGGGGACAAAAAGAGGTAGATTACATGTGACTTTTGTCCTTCACTAACAGTCAAGGAGGAAAGAAGAATTGGAAGAATTATTTCTAGTTTTTGAACTAGAAACATCCTCCAAAATAGGATGATTACCAGCCCCAAAAGCTTTTAGGGACTCAGCTTTCTATGCTTTCTATGTATATTTGTCACCTAAATCCTATTAGAAAAAGGCAGCAATGAAGTAGGTGGGTACTTCTTTGAACAGAGAGTATTTGATGTAAGCAGGAAAGGTGAGCATGGCTTTGGGGGCAAGGGCAGCAGCAGCAAGGTCTGTCTTGTGCACTTAGTGGGTGCTTAAGATAGACATTCTGATTTATCTGCCACTGCAGCAAAAAGTGGCCTACCTGCCCCTGCTTTCATGCTGACTACAAAGAGTTTTCAAAGACACCAGTCACACTTAGAAAGGGAGATATTTTGCCTCTGAAAAATTCTTTCCAGATGGTATTTCCTGGGGTAGTCTGACTTGTCTCTGCAACTGGGCAATAGGTAATATGTACTGTCTTCCTAAAGCAGGGATCATATGTCTGAAAAAGTAAATACACCAAGTTAAGATAGTCTAGGTGTAGATGTATGTGATTAGAAATATACAGTAATTTATTTATAACTTATAACTTTTAGCTTATAAAAAATTATATATTCTTGTATTTTTTCATAACGAGTGGTCAACACTATGATAAAGAAGTGACTAGGTCACACATATGACAATGACCTGGGTGCTTTTGGTCGAGTACAATTTTTAAAAGTAGCAATTTGGGAAAAACATTGCACTGGCCATATGTACATGTTGTACTCTTGATATTAAACCTCGATTAATAATTTACAATTCTCTAGTTCAAGTATCTCTGCACAGGAGTTTATGTCATTGGTGAATTGAACAGTTGCAATTGCAGATATAAATCATGCTAAATAGCAGGTACTCCCACGGGATGCTGTGTGCCCCATGTCTGTGCACAGGTAACAGCACAGGGCTACCAAGATGTGAGGACATGTGAGCCGTGCTCCAGTTACAGAGCTGTTGGTGAAACGTGAGCGCCTCTGGGGACAATTGCTCACAATTCCACGTGGCGTCATACAGAGATGAGTTCTAGGGCACCCTCACAGTGAATTCTGGGGAAAAATGTGTCTCACAGTTTAATTTTCACTGCAGGGAAACAGATTATTAAATCCACAAGCAAGCAGCACCAGTGAACTAACCTTAATTTGAAGAAACTTCACATCTAGCCCAGAGGAGTTTGTGCCTTACTGGGTTAAGGATAGGAGCTATGACATTTCTAGTCAACATATTATTGAGAGGCAAAAAAAAAAAAAAAAAGGGGAAAATTGGAAAATTCAGTTTCTCCTGGATATCTGTTTTCAGGCTAAGAATTACTATTATTCTATTCTAGAAGTTTGAAAGAAATAGCATCAGTCTGTAATTATCAGTGTGTTGATGGTTCATAGCTCTTCTTTTCATGACAAGCCACTTAAAGGACTGGTAATAAGAGTTTCCTACTGTGTAAATAATTTTAATCTATTAGATTAACTAGCTTCTTAATGTTCATATTAGAGGTAAAGATTTTTCCTTAACCTGTTTTAAACTGGGCAAATAGGTACAGAATTCACAGAAATTAACAAAATATAATTTCATCTTCATTATTACCTTTAGTTTTTTGACACAGCATAGGCTCAGTGTGCAACATGTTTTCTCTGTATTAAGTATTTTTGTATTTTAGCTCATGAAAAATCACATTGAAAGTTGCAGTACTGATCAGGAGATCATAACAGCAGTAGCTGTAGAATAAACTAACTGCAGCCACTGGGAATGAAAAGCTTCCATGCTGTTTTCTCATACTGTGAGAAGATAAACCAATCACCTCACCTCTGCCCTGGCCATAGTGTCAAAATTTTAAATTACCTGCCAGAAGTGAGTACAGAGCTGTACTGTTCTCAGTTACTCCTCTGATAGTTCTTTCTCCTATATATATTGGTTTTGACCTTAATCATATTACTGCAAAGCCCATATGGCTTGCATTGAATTCCATGAGATTTTTGTGTTTTAAAAGTAGCAAAATTATCTATTTACTCAAGGCTTTTAGCTTCAAACCATTTAGAAATAATACATCCCCTTACATTTTTTAAAGCATCAGTAATTACATAGGTGTGGACCTATGTAATTATATAAGTATATAGCAAATTTTGCAAATATTTACTCAAACAAATAAAATAGCTAGATATTTCTGCATCATGTCTATGCTAGAAGAATTCCTAATTAAAAAATCTTTCAGATAAAAAGATTTCTTTCATGCTCAGGTAGATACAGTACAGGCATGGTGAGATACTGCAGACACTGGGAGCAGAGAAAGAAAGCTACCCACTTAAAGGCTCAGGTGTGGTGCTCAAACTAAAAATAGGAAGTTTGAGACCCCATCAGATCACAGATTACATTTTATTTTATGCATTTATCTGCCCTGTGTTTCTGAGTTGAGCTGATGGTTAGGTGCTACGGGATAAAAGTGTATTCATTCTTATTACTTGTATTAAAAGGCTTAGACATTCCCTGAGATAGCCATTTAGGTCCATCTGACCTTGTGCTGAAACTGGATTGTTTTGTGTATTCACCAGAGCTGCTGCTCTCTCAGAGGCAGAATTTGTCTGCTGCAAGTTGGTTGATTTTTTCAGGCTGTGGCTGAGTCATCCCAGGTTTTTCTCATTTCTTTTTCATTTCCTTCAGTGTTTTACTCATATACAAACTGATATTTTTTTCCCTTTTATTTACAAAGTTTAATATCCTTAAAGCTTCTTGCATGCCATTCCCAAATACAAGCAGATATTTAAGATGGCTTGGGAACAGTTCTACGTCATGTCCCTAACACCAGGATTCAGTGAAATTGCAGCAGGGGGGATAACCAAAGATTATCCTGGTGCCTGTGCCCTTAGCACAGGACCTGTCAGTTGTGTCTTTCATCTCTTGCCCCATCTGTTTTGCACTCTGGCTGTTGTGGCAAGAGCCATCATAGAGCAGTGTTTGTGTTTCCCTGAATGCAGTCAAGATGAAAAATGCAGGAGTTGTGTAATGTCCCAGCCAAGCTCTGCCTCTCTCAGGAACATAAATCAGGTACTGAGCTGTTTTACGGGTGTTAAGTCTGCCATTTGCAGCAAATATCCAGCCAAGCAACGCTTGCTCAAATCACCCATTTTTTATAAGATGGTTGGTTCAGCCTCACAGGAACATACTCCAACACAGTTTCCACCACAGTAAGTAAGGGTGATGCTGCTCACCTGCTCTATAGCACATGAACATTAGCTATTCAGCCAAATTAGTCTTTAAAATGAGAGTATCAATAATAGTTATGTTTTATATATGTAGAGTGCCAGATACTAAAGGGAGACTGACTACACATCATGGTTGGTATTTTACTACTCAGAAAAGGCAAAAGTACCAGACTGGTTATCACAATTGCCGAATTCATTATATGGGAAAGCTCAGCCATGGAATTAGAAGTCTGCCAGAAAGGACAACAAAAGATATCTTTGAGATTTCATTTTGGTTTGGTTTTGTTTTCCATCTTAAAATTCAAAATAAAATAGACTTAAAATTCTTTAAAATATTTTAACATTAAAATTTTTACACACCTTCTTTTACCTTTTGATGTTTCAAATTAATAATCTGACATTTCTCTGTTGGATGATTTAAGGTGGGTTATAAGAATATTGCAACAGATGTACACAGACAAACACATCTCCTGTGCTGGAAAGATACATAGACAAAACAGTTTTGTTGTCCTGTTCAAAAATTCTGGTTGCCCTTTGCAATTCATGGTGGCTGCAATCTGTTTGGCCTTTTCCCATCAGGATTCTGCTCTGTTGATGAACTCTGCAGCATGTACGGAAATTGTTCTCAAGCCTATGTTAACAGTCCTGATAATATATTTTTTAGGTTTCCTCTACGCTCAGAACAGTGCCAAACGCAGCATTAAAGAGCGGCTTATGAAGCTCTTGCCCTGCTCGGCTGCCAAAACGACATCTCCTGTTACTCAAAGCAAGTTTTATTTTTCATTTTTTCATTTGACCTTTTTTTTTTTTTTTTTTAGGTTTGCATGCATCAAAAGTTATACTTTCTTTAACTGGTCATTTGAGAGGCAAGATATCTGCTGAAGTAATCATATGGTTTATCGAGGTTTAAAATCTAGCGGTGCACAGATTTGTCTGTGCAGAGTAGGATGGCAAGACAGCAGTGCCATGGTCTGCCACACAGGAGCTTGGCAACTGCAGCAGAGGGGATAACCAAAGATTATCAACTGGCACTTATGATCTGCAAGTTAGTTGACAGGTGATTCACTGGTTAAATTTAATACCTGCTCTCCATGCATTTGAAAAGTGGTAACTTTTTGGCATCTTTATACACGTGACTGTGTGTGCTTGCTATCCAATACACAGGGGGTACCATCATAACTGCTCTGGGAGGAAATGATTGGCCCTGCAGGTTTTGAATATAGAACTTCAAACTATTTAGGGAACAGGACTTAAAGTTGGTGTCTGAGAGAAAAAGAAATAATGAGATTGAAAAGAATGCGAATGTGAATATACAAGAAAAGCACACTGATATTGTACTGAATGTCTTGATGAAATCTCTCCAGAGTAGGTAACTGATAAATATAGAGGGGCAGCAGGAGTGAGAGATCAATACATAGAGATATATATATATTCCTAGACAAAGTTTAATTGTAGTAATAACACTATAATATCTTCCTATATAGATTGACTCCTATAGCAGATTTTAAAGTATCTCTCTGGATCCAATTCAATCTAGATTAATTTGACTGAATTCTAGGCACTAATATGAGCATCTAAAACCAGAAGCTGAGTTGTCCATGTGTTTCCTGTATACTGTTCTGAGAAAGCATATCAATCAATCTCAGGTGAAAAAGGCCTTCAAGAGCAGTTCCCCATGTCTAGTGAATCCAGGACAACCAAAAGCAACTTGACTAGAAGTACAGGCCCCTACTAAATGTCAAGACTTCACAGGTATAGATCTAGGGTTTCTTTATGCTATTCCCCTTCACTGTCTTTCATATGCTTCTCTGTAAAGAAAACTCTGGTGCTTGCTTTCCTCTTAAGTATTTGAGATGAGAAGGGTTAAATTTCTGGATGTAAACTGATTTATTTTTTTCATGGTGTCTTCAGCTGATATGTTTTGATTGAAAATAAAGTAACATAAAAACTGCTGTTACTGTTGGGGCACTTGTTAATAACTCTTTCTGGATAAGTTACTTTCAGCTGCATGACCTGAGCAATATAGCCCTAGACATTAAAAGAAATCAGAGAAGCACAGGTTTGCTTGAGTTGGAAGAGTTCTCCTGCACAAGACCAGGTTGCTCAAATTCCCATCCAACCTAAACACTCCCAGGGATGGGGAATGGAATAGATAAGGAAATAGGACACAATGGATAGAAAGCTTGATCTGTTTGTTTGAAGTTGCTGGGAGAGTGACACATCCTAGTTCCTTGCACATTTCTATGTAAGTTCTTCATCTGCACAGGTAACCAAATATATTTAGAGTCAGTCTCAGAAACCTTGACGATGTCAAACTTATATTTTCCTTACTGAAATTATTTTATAAACCAGAAGAGAGGTTGAACTATAACAAGTATTAAATATTTCGTATTTGATAGCCAAGCAGTAAAAAAGGTACATTCAATAATTTTCTCTGTAATCTCCTCAATAATGAAGTACTACCCTTAGTAAGAATGTTATATCAGGTGAAAATCTTGAATAAGACTATCATTGTAGATATACACTGTTATTATTGCATTTTGACATTATGTGCTATTTCATTTCTGCTAGCATGAAAGAAGCAACATTATGGTGTCCTAGGAATGAAAACAGCACCATTTGCAATAAAATTCACATGATGTGAATTCCTTAGAAATTATCAGAGAAATATTTTTTAAAAGAGTAATTTGTTGAAATAGACATAGCCTGAATTTACACTTCTGCGCTTCTATCTACATTGGCTTACAAAAGGTTATCTAAAAATGTAAAATCTTGCTTCAGCATTTGTATTGAACATATTTCAGCATTCTTATTGAAAAAAGCATGTAAAAGAACACTTCTTTGTGTGCTCTAGTCTCGTAAGTATAAACGTCCCTAGATATGTGCATGTGCTAGTACACTAGGGTAGGACTACATTCAATGGTTTTGAAAAAGAAAAACATGCTAAGTAGTTATTAAATCGTTAGGGAGGCTATAATGTGGAGTTTGTGCAGGGAAATGCATGTGCACCTTTTTTTACAGATATGAATTATTTGAAGAGTACATTTGCTTTTCGCAGTGTTTTTACCATCTTGTTTTTTAATGAGTAATGAAAGGTTCAAAGCATATCTCCTATGACATTTACATCAAAAAATGTCTTTACTATTTAGCTATAGGAAATCTACTAATTAATGAAATCATTAAGAATATTTTGTTTAGTACATTATTGAGGGAATGTGAACTTGTTTCTGGTTTTTAGTTGAAATGAAATTTCATTTCTATGAAAAAAAAATATTCCTAACTTATCTAGGCTGAATAAACCAAAGAACTGAAATAATTAATGCCATAGAAACCATTATTGTTTTGAAATAGATAAAAAGAGAAATCGTAAAAATAGATTTTCACACACTTCCCTGCATATTTTAAAGTATAGATTTTTCTTTTCCAGCCTGGTAGCTAGAACTGTGAAGAAAAAAATGAAAAACCTGCAAATGACTCATGAATGCTATAGTATTTTAGTCATCACAGTTGGTTGATTTTAAGGAAGTTTATGATGATCTTGCATTTTTATTATTTCTATCTATAAGATACTAGAGAAGTCGTGTGTAAAGAATGTTATACTGAACCTTTTCATTATCATCAGCCTATTTCAGTCTCCTACATGCTCACTGAATCATTTAAAGGCAATAAAAATGTTTACTACTAAGGATATACCAAATATTGTGCTCAGCACATTGTCTGGCCTTTATCTCTAGCCTCACATTTATTATGTGTATTCATTTAGCTTCCAGAAAAGCTTGTAGATGTCTCTCTTGGTAGCCAGATGTTTTACAAATGGATGCTTAGAGAACTCATTTCAAGTTAAGTCTTTTTCTGTCTAAAACCAAAGCCCATTTAAATCCCATGTAACCATCCAGATGTAAAATACAAGTGAGCTTTCAGCAATATTTATTCTCAGGTTGATTTCTTTGCCAATTTAGTCTAAGTACCTAGTCTTGAGTTGTGGTTAACAAAAAAAAAAAATCATCTGGATCACACTGAGATCATCCTCCTGAGATAAGTGCTAACAACAACATATCTTTCACAGGCCTAAATTTTGTGAAGATTGTTTAAAATAGTTTATATACTATTAAATATCTCTTTAAAGGTTGTTTATTTTTTGTTTATCTGAACTGTATCTTCTGATGCCAAATTTCTCCCAAGCAGCTGAAAGCTATTATTTCTGCATTATAGCAGAACAAAAATATTGAAACTGTAGGCATAATACTACTTTAATTGAGTATTCTAATACTATGTGTTTATAAATATTGAAGCAAATAAAACTTTATTCCAAGAATAAAGAGTCCCAGATTCTAAAGAAATAAAATATGCATCTTCAGCATTGTAGACGTGAGAATTAAGCATCTGTATTGTTATATTTCTATAGTTCCTATAACTCTTAAATAAAAATAAGGCAGTATTTTCATTAAATTAATTTGGAGTACTACATAAGTTACATCTAAGGCTGTCAGTAGTTAGAAATGTACACACACATTTGTATTTTTGATCTCAAGTGACTGGCACTCTATTGTAAATTTCTTTAGCTGTTTCATTGAACTTTCACATTTAAAACTCTACCTAGGAAAATATGAATTGCTAATTCTCATTGTTTTAAGTCTACACTCAACTGTAAACCTTGAATGCCTATATTCACATTCTTACTTACCTAAAGAAGAGGTCACTAAAACTATCGTGTTCCCCACTTAGGCTGCTCACCCTCAATAATATTTCTCCTAAATGCTCAGTTGTATGATACTCAAAGTAAGACCTGCTGCTGGATGTGCATCATCAATTTCATGCATTTTCCAGAAGAAAACTTCATAATAAAAATCCCAGCCTGATACAATCAATTCACATCCACTATCTAACTGAAGGAAAATTTTCAGTTTTCTGGAGTTGCTAAAGTTTTATAAAATTGTTTGATTTGGTCAAAGAGTTGTACGAACAGAAAAGTCATGCTGAATGTATTATGCATGCTCTTGCAGGATGTCTTTCCAATTTATTGCTATTATTACTCATGAGATAATATGCAGGCTACTGGATCATCACTGCTGTTCACTATTCTTTGCAGACACAGAAGCAGATGATAGAGTCCTTTTTCCTATGAGTTTGAAATGGACTCATCATTTGTCATTAAATCTGCAAAAAGAAGTCTTTAAGAGACTGTTTTTTCTTTCTTCTTCCCTTTCCCTTTCCCTTTCCCTTCCCAATCCTCTTTCCCCTTCCCCTTCCCAATCCTCTTTCCCCTTTCCCTTTCCCTTCCCAATCCCCTTTCCCCTTTCCTTTTCCCCTTTCCCTTTCCCCTTTTCCCTTTCCATTTCCCTTTCTGCTTCCCCTTTCCCTTCCCTCTTCCCTCTTTCATTTTCTCTTGTCTGTCTTTTTGAAAGGGTTAAGTATTTTTAATTCCTGTATTTCTTGTTGAGCTTTCCTTCTCTGTCTCTTGTATTCTGCAGACACTGTAGAAGATGAAATGGAAATGGCCACAGTACGACATAGACCTGAAGCTCTTGAACTGCTGGAAGCACAGAGTAAATTCACAAAGAAGGAACTTCAGATCTTATATAGAGGTTTCAAGAATGTAAGCACTTCCTTTATGAATTTGTAATCTGTTTATGGGATGTGCCACTGCAGTCTTAGCTGTGTAAGAGTGACTAGCAGTGCAGCTCATGAGATTCAGTAGCTAAATACTGCATATCTGACCAGATGAGGAAACAATCACTCTGAAACAATTGGTATAAAGTCATTAAACTATTTAATAAACAAAAGGTGCAGACGAAATAGAAAGCATCAAGGAGAGAATAATTATAACTCAGGAGGAAAAGTTAGTTACTCAATCTTAGTTGAATAAGTATAACTTACATAGTAGGACTTTGTTCAAAGAAAAATTGAAAGTTGTATTGAGGTTGTTTGTTTAAGAATAAATAATGGAAGAGTACTGAAAAATTTGGTCAGTAAGAAGAAAGATTTTGATTTTTGTATTCACAGGAGCTGTCACAAGAAGTAATTTATTTCAACTTCACTAGATGGCTTTTTTATTTGGTGAAGAGTTGTAGATAACTTCATCAATTCTCACTAGTTCTACAAATCTATAAACTTCTTAGATCCCTTTGCTAGGAATAATTGTGATTTTTTTTTTCCATGAAAATGTGTGATGTAGTGGCAGGTCCAGTGTTTTATTTGGCAGGGATCCCAACTGAGGATCCCAGTACATGGGTGTAGTCTGTCTCATTTTCCAGTGTGTACAGCTGCCCTGTAGTGCTGGGCTTGGCTTTGGCTTGTGAGGTATGCATGTCTAGTACAGGAAAGAAATAGAACTTAAAAAGACGTTAGTAAGTAGTACTGAACTCTGTTTTCTTAAAACATATACTTTTTCTCTATGTATTTTACTATCCTTTGTCTGATTAAAAATATGTGGAATATTGAATGCAGTTAACATTGGATAGAAAATATTAAAGAAATATTATATTAAAAATTAATAATAGCAGATTTTTAGTCATCAGTGTTTAATGTTATCTATAATTTCAGCTGTAAGTATTGCAACTGTGCAGATGCTATGTCTCCTGCTAAGCTGAAGCTAAAGATGAATCTAATTGCATTCATCACCTTGTAGTTTAGTTTTTCTTTCACCCTGGGTGAAAAGGGATGACCTCTTGCCCATGTCATTTACTACTCAGATGAGTCAATAAAAACACATTGAAGCTCCATTGTGGAATCAGAGAGGATGTCTTCAACAGCTTGGACAGGAAGTGTAGGTCTTGCAGAGTTCTTAGCTCTCCTGCATTCTGTAAAGAAAGCAAGACATGCAAAGGGATGTTTTAAACACATATTTTTATCAAAAGCTTACAATGCAAGCAAGACAGAGTAATTTAATGTGTCCTGTCTGTATCATTCTCAGTTCCAGAAAGTATATAATGTTGGCATGTTAGTGATTAACAGTGATTGCTCTTAAAAGCTTTTCATTTCCTCAGGGTTCCAGAGAACATTCCCCTGCTAATGACAATATTCTCCAGGCATTGCAAATCATGATCTCATGTCCCTAATTATCTAAGGCAAAAAGGTATAAAGTATAGTGGATAAAATAAGCCTTCAGTCTGTTTCTCCAGTAATAATTATTTTTAGAGTTTCAGAAACTAAGAACCTTGATATTTCTTTGCATAAAATGCAGTATGGAGAAAGAGAATAGGTTATAAGGAAGTATTTTAATGGATACCTTTTTTTAGCATTTTCTGAAAAGGGGAATTCCAGCTCTTCATACGCTTTTCTGTTCCAAGGTGTAAGTCCTACTTACATCAAAGGAGTGTTGTGGTAAGACATGGTAAAACTAAATGTGGTAAAACTAAATTTTTATCCTTATGTTTAATTTCCTTATCAGTACATGAGAATTCAAGACATACATGTATAACATATCTTTGACTAGATAGAGTTAATGGGCACGAACTTCAGTGGTTTTGTGTATAATATCATTGCAAAGTTATCAATTATGATCTGAAATGCTGTAAAGCATGCCCAGGGCTAGTGACTATTATAAAGATAAAGCAGTTTAAAGTAGTATTCTTTAGCCCAAGGATTAGATTTGAGAAATGGATAATTTCAAACTTTTTGTTGAGTTGGAGTTTGTTTTATTTCTCATATTAATTGCAATATATGGTGCTGGATCACAGTTCTCTAATCACTTCAGAGAACTGGTAGGACAAGTCTGCCTCAGCTCTCTGAGCATCTTCTCTGTGCTGATTAGTTCACCTTTCCTGCCACATAGCTACCTTTTATCAAGTATATCTTGAGTGGCTGTGATGGGTACTGATCCACAATGGCATTGCAGTGTCTCCCATGGTTTGTGCTTGGACCATCCCCCCCTTAGAGTGTTCCAGCATCCTCTTGTGCCTGCCACAAGCCACCTGCCTTCTCGCAGTGTCATCCAGCTGAGTGCTATCCTGCCAATATTCCAAGCACATATCAACCTGTGTGCTTCACGCATCTGCTTTGTGTACCAACTTCTCCTGGATGCCACCCAGCTGGACACTGACTTTGCTTTGTTGGGCATGAGCCAGCAAATGTGTCTGCCTATGCAGAAAAGGCAGTTCTCTTTAGATAAGGCACTTCCAGCAGGTGGAGGGAGCCCTGGAGGCCACACCAGCCCTTCACTCAGCACTGGTGGGGCCACATCTGAAGTGCTCTGGCCTGTTCTGGGCTCTCCAGTAAAACAAAAGTATGGACATACTGGAGAGAGTCCAGCAAAGGGTCACAAAGATGTCTAAGGGACTGAAGCACCTCTCCTGTGGGGAGGCTGGGAGAGCTGAGACTGATGAGTCTGGAGAAGAGAAGGCTCAGCAGGGATTTTACCAGCATATATAAATATCTGAAGGGAGGACGTAAAGATGGAGCCAGGCTCTTTTCAGTAGTGCCCAGTGCCAGGACCAGAGGCAGCAGGCACAAAGTGAAACACAGGCAGTTCCCTCTGTACATCAGGAAGCACTTTTCACTCTGAGGGTGACTGACCACGAGCCCAGATTGCTCGCTGGGTTTGCGTCATCCTCCTGCTTGAAGATATCCAAAAGTTAGCTCTCTGGACATGGTCCTGGGGATCCTCTTCAGGACATATGCAGGAATGTGCAACCAGATATCTCCAGAGATCCCTTCCAACCCCAACCGTTCTCCGAGTCTGTGACATTCTGTCAATCATTCCACTAAGAAGTAAACTACTGAAAAGATTTAATGAAAGACACAGGCACACATATTTAACATGATGTCATCAAAATCTTGTGCAGATCCTACCTCTGTGCTTTATGCTTTTTACCTGATCTTTGCCTGTCTTACTATCTCTTTGATAATTTAAGTATATAAAGCAAGATAAATTAAAGCATGAACTTATGTTATGGTAGTTCTGCTGATGTTGTGGTCCTGTTAGATGAAATTAGCAGCATCCTACAGGACATTAGTACTAATTGAAAAGCTTTTGTCTACAGAATCTCACTCCAGCCTGCTTATTTCCCTGAATCTTTTCGAGTTTTAGGATGTCTCTTCTGAGATAGAGATGAACAGAACTTTTTATAGCTTACCTCCGGTTATTTGTTATTTCTGACTTCAAATTGCTTACAAGTAGTTCTGGATGACTTCAGATAAGGAAGCAGTAAAATACACCTGCATTTCCGTAGTGTTGATGATTACAAAGTTTGATTTATTATCATCAATTTGATTTTCCACTGAACACAAATTACAGGCAAAATCCAGGCAGAAGGAGCACAGGTCTCACAGAGCAGCTTTTTGTGTACATAAACACAGAATCACTAGGTTGGAAGAGACCTTCAAGATCGCAGAGTCCAATCCAGCCCTAACACTTCAACTAAACCATGGCACCTAGTGCCACATCCAGTCTTTTTTTAAACACATCCAGGGATGGTGACTCTACCACCTCCCCAGGCAGGCCATTCCAGTACTTTATCACTCTTTCTGTAAAAAACTTTTTTTTTAATATCCAACCTAAACTTCCCTTGCCACAGCTTGAGACTGTGCTTCTGGTTCTGTCAGTTGCTGCTTGGAGAAAGAAACCAACCCCCACCTGACCACAATCACCTTCCAGGGAGTTGCAGAGAGGGATAAGGTCACCCCTGAGTCTCCTTTTCTCCAGGCTAAACACCCCCAGCTCCCTCAGTCATTCCTCACAGGGTTTGTGTTCCCAGCCCCTCTCCAGCCTCGTTGCCTCCTCTGGACGCGCTCAAGCGTCTCAATGTCCTTCCCAAACTGAGGGCCCAGAACTGGACACAGCTCTCACGGTGTGGCCTCACCAGTGCCCAGTACAGGGGAAGAATGATCTCCCTGCTCCTGCTGGCCACACTGTTCCTGATAACAGACCAGGATGCCCTTGGCCTTCGTGGCCACCAGGGCACACACAGAATCACAGAATCCAGAAAGCTTTAAAAAGAACACATGAGAGCTTTAGAAAGTCTCAGATCACATTGTAGTAGAGCTGATGCTCTGAGTAAGCAAGAGGTAGAGCATAATTGTAGTGAATGCTCAAAGATGGTTGAAATCCCTTGGGACAATGACTGTTTTGATAGAACTCAAAGTCAACATTTAAAATGAAAAGGGATATACACTAAAGAAAACATAAGGAGGTGGGATAAGCACCTTCAGATGACCTAACAACTATTATATGGAAAATTATCAAGGGAGAATTTATGTCTCTATTAGGTAATTTAGCCATTTTTAAACTCTATACTATCCCTGAAAAATGAGCTTAATATAAGTCCTAAACCCTTCTCAGGCTGAAAAGGTTGTCCCCAGCACTCTGGCTTTACAATATTCCTGTGCTGTTGTAGATGAATTGTTGCTCAGCTGCCACCACAGTGGGACATTTCCAATTTGTATTTGGCTTCCTGTCATCCCATTTCTTGCAAATTGAAATTGTGATTGCTGCAGTCATTAACCTTTCAAACCAACAGCTCTGTGGCAGTCCTTGTACAAGTGGTACTTCACAATAACTTGTGCAGACTATCAAGCATGGACTCAACATGTGGTCTTTCTTTCTCTTCTGTCCATTGATAGATCTCTCCCAGTTTTAAAAGCATCCATTTAAAAAAT